TGACTTGATAGATTGCGAGACTGTAGTTGCCTTCAGGAGAGGCCCATAAAAGTGTTGGTTATATTACCTACCAAAACACGTAATTTTTCATGCCGAATGTCCATGTTGTTGTCAGACCAGTGAAGAAACGTAAGCAGAACGCGTAAGGCAAACAATTGTTTTCGATTTCTTCTTGGGCCTGTTGCAGAAATATACTTATGAACAATCAGGCTTGTGGGACAGTATAAGACACATTATTGATTAGATAAAATTAAACTTAAACAGAAAAGTTAACACAAGAGTGCCGCAAGATTTAATTCCGGAAAAATTTCTCTGCATATTTTCAAGTGCGTACTACAGACGTGTGAATTTATAGCATCACATGTCATGTGACATGAATGTAGGTGTGTATAGTTTGGTCAATTTGCCATTTTAACTGCGCTCCTTTCATGATGCTATAAATTCACACGTCTGTAGTACGCACTTGAAAATATGCAGAGAAATTATTCCGGAGTTAAATCGTGCGGCACTCTTGTGTTAACTTTTCTGCTAAAAGTTTCCTCGGGAACTAATTGTTTCAATAAATTTAAACAGTTATCGTGCGTCAGAGGGTCAGGGGATTGGCGGTACATGGGATTGATGGGCGGGCGCAAATTCCTGTCGTGTAGTTGATGGCCATGGAACCTGCAATGCTTGAATGAGCTACTTTTGGATACAGAGAATATGTTTCATCGGCCATATGCTTACTGCTTCAGCAGTAGTAAGCAGTCATGCTGCTAACTGATGGGTCAAGTGTGACAGTAATTTATACAGGATTTCCACCGCACTACGTTTGTCAGTGTTGTACCCAGTGACAAGCAGATAGTTAGTAATTGCACTTAACTTAGCTCTGTCTCTGTGGTTGGTGAGCGAATTCGGTAGGAGCTGCTTATTTCGAGTTTCTAGGTGCCTGGTCGTGCGTCCAATCTAACTAGCTCCACAGGAGCAGGTGAACCGGCAGAATACATTTGACTGGAGGTAGTCAGACACTTTGTCCTTGAATCTAGGGACAACCAACGATTTGCTCGTATACAACACATTGATTTGGGCGGCCTTTAAGGTATTCCTGAAGAATTGAATCAACCTTCGTGTACATAACTCAGCCGTTTTGTCATCTTTAAAGGGGATGTTAAGGAACAACTGTTTTTTCTCAACCGTTTGCACTGTTGGTTTTGGGCCGTTAGGCCTCGCATGCATGTCAATAAGCCGCTCTGGATAACCGTTCTCAAGCAGTGTGTGCTTGATTCGTTCCAGTTCATCTGCAATCGTGTCTTCGCTATAGATCTTGTGCGCGTGGTTTGTCAGCGCATGGATCAGTGTTCTTTTTCGGCTGAGGGGCACAAAGCTCTGAAAATGTATGTACTGCCCCGTCCAAGGTAGCTTCATGTACTGTCGTAACTGGCCTGATCTGTCGGCTCTCCTCTTTAGATTTACGTCTAAGACATTCAGTCGGTTGTTACTTTCTCCTTCGGCTGTAAATGAGGCATTTGGATGTACACTGTTGAAATGTTCGACGAAGTTCTGCTTACTTTTTTCTCGAGTTTAACAACTTAATTTTAGTGGCACTCAGCAGCGATACCTCGTGTAGACATACTTGATCTTGATGCAAGAGAATGCAAGGAGTGCACTCGTTTTTGCTTCATTTCCTTTTGCAGAAGCAAGGTTAGGCGACCAAACGTCCTAGTGCAGTGGCTCCGGTTTGTTAACCGGCACAACAAGTAGGGCGCTGGTTAGGTGAAAGCTTGTGTCGTTTTTGGATATTGACCTGACCGGACTTCCCAATCTCACTTACACATTTGGGTACTCGTGGCAGATTAGGAATTTCAGCAGTTAACATCATAGGCTGTCGCCCGTGATGTATAGAAGCTGGACCCGTCAGGTTGCCCTACTTTAAGTTGCTTAATTGCACACACTGGTGACTGTCGGCTAGTGGCTTAGGGGCCTGCACCCATGGCTTTCAATCATAAGATCACCGGTTCGAATCCGCGCAGGGTCTTCGCGGTATACTTAGCCCAAGGCAACTGGTGGTGGTCGCGCGGCAGCTAAGCGCCATTATGGCGTGCAGCTAACACATTATTTATTACACACTGGTGACTAGAATGCGGCAAATTCAAAATTGTTTGGTCCAGGAAATCACAAACCAGATATTCAAACCTCCAACGGGAAAGGTACCAGACGGCCGTTTTCTCCTGGTGGGGTTCGTTAGTAGTGCCCAACCCTGGGTTCCATCAGGAATCGGATCCATGACTACAACTAGCTTGCGCTACTAGCCAGCAACTTATACTAATGAGCAATTTGAACTTACTTCGCAGAGGTGAGCCGAAGTACTGGAGAGGAACTTACTAATATTCACAAAAGGTTCTTGGTACTTCCCGACCTCATGCAGCCACCAGTGTTATGTACAGCACTTATCGGTGCAAATTCATTCTTCCTGGGTACGTAAAAGCGCATCAGTGTACCACTAAGACACATCTGCGACGTGCGAGCACTCATGGACCAGAAACATACTAAAAGTGTCCATCCTCGAAATTTTCCGTTCTTACTTACATTCCACCTGCAAAATTACTGCAATCTCGTGCAAGCATGAGATGCAATACTTGAACTTTTTTGATCCGAGCTATTTCGAAATATGGTTTTTTGACCTCAGTATTTAAGACCTACGTTCTGACATTATGCAGTACACTCGTACTCTTGTGCAAGGCTTCAAACTGCCTTGAGAAGCAGCTGAGGAAATAAGTAAAGGTACTGGGAACGCTACAAAGAACACCGCACACTCACACTCGATGTCGAGTGCGGAAGTAATCAAGGTTCAATCTTGTCACTACAACTGACGAAGATTTATCTAAGTCTAATTTGCCTTGTTTCGGATAAACGGAGTAAAGTGACTCTTATTTTGGTCATATCACCTACCCATCCCGACACCTGTCATAGCTAGAATATGCGGTCCCATAAAAACACTCAGCGCTACGCTCCGGTACCTGAATAGCCTATCCACATCTGATGAGTCCATGCGCAGGGAATAAATTGTGAAAATGAAATAGCTTGAACAGAGCCAGGCGCCTCCATACATGAAGATTTCTTCCAACTCCGGAGTAAAGCTGTGAGCCACGTATCCTTGGGCATGTGATTACTATTGGAGGGGATCGCGCAATACTGTTCGCTAATGAACAGCTCGTCTCGTGTCCTGGATGTCCACTGGTCAAGCACGAAACTCGTTTGCATTAGTCACCCATAGTCTGGTACACATCGACATTCTCTCTGGTCCCCGATCTACGAACTTGTAACTGTATTACGGTGTTGTTTTTACCTTACGGTGAACTTGAAATATCCAACGGACCTTTGAGTTCAGTTTCGTTTCACACAAATTTGGGTGCTTTCCGGGAACCTAGGTTACTTTTTCTTAATAGTCATAATTACCACTGTACTATTGACATTGATAGTTTTACAGTCTCTAAATATCTGACACCGAACAGTACCATTTATGTGGTCAACCTTATAATGCCTTGTCTTTTGTTGCCTACTGCAGTGCAGTTCAGCGTCGGCAAGCACTCAGTAGTGTCTTCAGTCGAACTATATATTTGTTGGCATGTGTCCGTGCATGGCGTGTCCTGATTGATAATGCTGCTAAACTTAATTGTTCCGCGCTGAGGCTTCTCCACATACTACACCAGAGTTTCTTCTCCTACAGGCTAACAATGCAACCACTGCAGCGATCTTCTGTTGAATGCGACCTTGACGTGTTGGTTTAGCATAAGTTGGGCTGTTGCCGGCAATCCGATTGAGCATCGATAGCTGGTAAGCAACACGTTATGCTGTTGCGACGGACGTTCAGACAGAAAGACATCTCTATTTTCCGACACATGCTCAGCACGTATGTTCGCCCTCATTTCGAATACGCAATTCAGGCCCAGCAGCCATGCATGAAGCAGGACCTCAATACACCAGACCAACCACAATGCCGGGTTTCCAAATAAGTCATTGGAATGCGTAAACTACAGTAGGACTAAAGAGTGGGACGTTTGGGAGTGTTCAGCGGACGGGATCACCAATGAAGAGGCAAACTCATAATGTCCTACTTTATTCTGCGCGATAATTATCACGTGTGCAGCTCCTTAATGAAACTTAGCATTAATACAAACTTACGAAGTAACTCTTGGAAACTAACAGGGGAGTACAGCTGTCTGAAGTGCCATAGAAACTACTGTTCTGTTTGCGTGTGTCAACCTCGAAATCCTCTGCTTAAATCGGTCACTTTTGCACCCACGCTCGTTCTATTTCAGAGTCGGTTGAAAAAGACACACTCAGCCACTTACATTTTGTCATTTAGCATTCTATCTCCATCCTATTCATGAGGAATCACCTTGGATTTATTAGTTTTCGCCTATGCGAAACTACGGGGACTTTAGTGCTACTGCACTAAAAACGATAAGTCCGCTCTTTTGACAGTAAAAGTACTAACTGCTATTTTCCTTAACCTGTTGAGATAACCCACCAGACCACCCAACTGGGCTTTTAAAGTAGTGCTTCTTAACTCGCATAAAGTTGTTGTTCACAGTTTATTGTTCACATTCAAAGTAAAGAGCATAATATCTGGCCTCGAGTTCGACCTCCCTACATCCGGTTGCAACAAACTCTTAGACGTGAACTAGTGGGGTCAAACAAGACGGCATGCAGTAGTTGAACCAAATACCGTAAAGCATCAAATGTTGACTGCCATGGTTTTTCACTCCCGTTCCTGCCTTTTTCTTCACTTCTGTTTGGTGAACTGGGGCAACCAAGACAAGGTACATATTAACCCAATTTAATACTGCACAAGTGTGGTGATGAGTATCTGCAAAACAACGGGTGTTAAGTCCATATTGCACCTAAAGTACTGCACTTTTCACTGGTATAATATTAATTTTACTTTGCATCGATGGACAATTGAGATTTATTTATTAGTCTCCTCTTTAAATTGATCGTTATCTGACTTCTAATTTCAGTCCCGACAACTGCTCTATGGTTCTCGCATCGTTTTTCTGACGACTGATGTTTCCGGATTACAACAAGATATCCAGTACTACCGTCCTACTGTTTTCTGCGGAGTACCGCGCATATTTTCACGCATATATACGGACTATTTGCAACATTTTCATAACAAAAAATTAGCTTCACTGTTGCTGAGCTTCGCAATCTATATGAAATTACGAGAGCAAAAGAAGTAAGCACCTTGGTTTTGCTACCTGAATCACTACCCCTATTTGAATTATTTTAAATGCAAGACTAAAAGGAACGCTCCCGGTGAATTTCTGAAACATGTGACGCAAATTTACCTATCCGTTATTAGCTTAGAGATGTACATACCTCTTACGTATAAAAATACTGTATTGCATTTCACGTTCAAATGGGTTTCGCATGAATATCGACCTACATTACGGACGCGCTGACAGCTTCTCACTACTGATTCTGTATAAGAAGAAGAACATTCAGTGTAAACTTAACCTGGTTTCCGAAATGCCTTTGCAAATGCAGTTTAGCTGCTCAAAATTGTTGGGGTTTGAACTAATTAATATGTGCATTAAATCCCATCTGATGTATTCGCTAACACATTGCTACTTGAGATTTCCAATTACTTGCGAATCTGGTTGGGTCAGTAACATCCAGCGTTCCATAAGCCAATTCTACCGCTAATCTGAAGCCTTAACTTCACTGGATTTCTGGAGTGATACACGCGCAGTGTCAAAATCTATATCAAAATATCATAACGGTACAGTATGACAGCAGGATTTAAAGTGACGAACTTATGATACCTTCGCCCAGATGTCTAAAAAAGAATTAGAATCCCTTTGAAAACCTTATCACCAATTGCTTACGGTAAGGCATCGTGGGTAAACATTTTCCAGGTAAATAATCATTGGTATGTAGCGGATGAAAAAGTTTGTCTTAATATGTTCCGCAGGTTGGTGCGTATGTGTTTTCAAAGAAGAGCGAAAACAACCATAAACAGAGAACAACCGAAATTAGCGAATGTGTCGAGCTAAATTAGGTCCGTCTAAATCGTTCACATATGATCTTGTGCAATTCGAAATCCCACCGCCCTTGGTTCTCCCAGAGTTAAACGTGTGGCTTGATGCACGTATGATTCAGTTGTGTCTTATGACTTGGTGTAACGCGACTAGCGAAGTGCTGATACAATCTTTGAAAACAATCTATGTTGAAGCCAAAAAAGCGTGTTTTTGGAGTGAATTCCCTATGCGGAAAACAAGTAGTGAGAAGAAACTCCGTTCACACTCCAGTTGTTCGCAAGGTAGGTGGTATAGCCCTTTGACGAGTTTGGTGGCCCGACATAGTGGAATTCCCAGACCAGTGAGATTCCTCTTCAGCCATCGATGATCATACTCCACATGTGGATGTATTTATACGGAAGGCAGTTGGGGAAAAATATACTGGTCAAGGTGAGCAAAAGCTTTTCTTAGCAGTCCTAATTTCTGGATGCCATTTTTTTGCTAGCGTTGATTGTTCCGAGCAACCAGGCACTTCCTGCTTCAGTCCACCAAGATCATTTTCTAGAGAATAGTTCTGGATATGCTGGTCTCTATGCTTACATGCCCGAATCATTTTTTTTTTATCGTAGATGGATACTCAGCATTTATTCACGTTGAACTGAAGACTATTGTAAAGGTCGTTTTCTGATTGGATGCGGTCGTTCGGGGCCTTTGATCCGTCGCCAAATTTTGCAATACTCCGCGTAAAGCAACCAATGTCAGGTTATTAAGCTCATTAGATTGTTACCGATGGGGCCCAACTACCGAACTTTGTGATACATCTCGTTCCACTTGTATAAGATTTGACACAATTTCGCGAACTTGCACTTCCAGACGCCTGTGCAAGATGAAGTTGCTGATCAGGAGGGGATTATCAATGCTGTATCACAGAAGCCTTGCTAGAATGATGTGATAGTTCAACCGGTCGAATGCCCTAGTGAATTGGAGGTAGACGATACCAACTCTTACACCAACATTCACTGTTTTGATCCAATTGTCCCGTGCTAACAGTAGACTGGTAGTGGGCGAACGGTTCGTGCAAATCCATGTTGCTCTCACGCCATGTGGTCAAGTTCGTCAAAGTAATACATTGGCGTCTGATCAATGATAGCGTCCAAGAATTTTGGAAGAACTGGAACAAGGGTCAGTGGACGGTAGCTAACTGGAACGGAACGGCTGTCTGTTTTATAAGTCGAAGTCATCATACCATACTCCCCTACTGTAGGAACATACATCTCGTAAAGACAGTGCTGGGAGCATTATGTCAAAAATTCAGCCAACTTATTTGCTGCTACGTCATGCCAATCGGACGAGAGTTAACATTTCAGAGCAGTTGATCAACAGATAAAGCAGCCTATTTACACTGAACGAACCCTACTCCCGTTACCTTAGCCTGTCGCAATTTTAAGCACCTTTATAGATGTATTACCTTGAATGGAAGTATCGCAAGAAATTTCTTCGCTGATTTGAATACTTATTTCCGAGAAAGTTGTGTGGGCACATAGATAACGGATTTCTCATCATATTGTCAGCTGTAAAAATGGATATATCGCATATTACCGTGTATAGGCCGATCCGTATATAAGGCGACAGTATGCCTGCAAGGACAAATTTGTCAAAAATCATAAATCGGTATATTAGCTGACCCAAAAAGCCAGCAAAAGAGAAACGAAATTGTTTCTCACGACTGACTTCATCGCCACCTGCTCTCATGTGACTGTACTCAAGCGAAAGCTCTTCTGCTATTCGTCAGTTCTACCGACCTACGATCACAGTTAATGGGGCTTAGAGCCGTCAAGGCAAAGATTTTAACCGCACTGGACAATGTAGTGATTAGATGTCAAGTCACACGAAACAGGGAAGATGGCCGACAATAAGGGGTAAGGTGAAAGAGTGTGTCAGACACCGCCTCACATAGTCGGGGACCTCATGCATTTGAATCGCAGTGGAGCAGCGGGTGAGAGGGAAGTTCATGATCAGTGGTGTGGGACGACGTTGTACCTATACTACACCAGACTGACTAGCATAGCATAAGCTATAAGCGCTGTGATTCGCTAACCGAAATAGCGCTGACTCGACGTCACCCGATCCAGCTGAGAGGGAATGTGCCTACATTTCGTACGATTTTCTAAAGTCGTGGAAACGTGAGAAAATGTCTGGACAGGATCGATGTGCATATGCTGCTTGCTTTAAGTTGAATTCATCGCGCTTGCCGACCACTCTAATAAGCGTATGTATGTACGCCATTTCACGGTGAATGAAAAGCAAGTGAGCGAATGGCGAAAGGAAAAGTAAGTATTCTCTCTAATGCCTGTAGACAAGAGAGCAGCACGCGGTAGAACAAGCATGTTTCCTGCGCTGAAGGAAAAGTTAACGCAGTGGGTTATGGAGTCACGGCACAACGGGTTACTTGTTACCCGAACGAACATTCGGATCAAGACGCTCACAATGTTAAAATGTCCGGAATTCCAGCCATCAAACCCGGAGAATTTTGTTGCTTCCTCCTGATGGTGCAATCGTTTTATGAATCGATTCGACATGTGTCTACGGACTCGCATAAAACTAACCCAGAAACTGCCGCCGGAATTGGACAGTAAAGTTGAATTTTCAAAGGCTCGCGATTCAGCTGAGAAAGCAATAGGACTTCGAGCCGTCCCAAATGGGAAATATGGACGTGCCGCCCGTGTGGTTTGAAATGCCTACAAAGCGCACGGTGGAGCAGAAAAGTGCTAACGTAGTTTTTGTAAAGACGACAAAACACGAGAAGACACGATTCACCGTTGTCTTTGGGGTGTAGGTGGATGGTTCCCGTCTAACACATGCTAATGGCGCAGGATGCCACTGAACACATTGAAAGGAGGACATATACTACTTCTTAAGCTGTTCGTGTTGGCTTATCCGCTGTTATAGGCAGGTGAAATCCCTTTTTCACTTTGCGAATTCCATTCGCATGCTTCTACAGTAGTCTATGGTTCGAAACGAATCATGCTGTTAAAACCTGCTGATATGCAACTTTGTCCTCGTGCACCAATTGTACACGCTGATCACCGTGGATAAGCTACATCTTCCGGGTGTGTGAGCTGCTATCGGTTTTGTGAGCATGCCATGCTGCGTTTCGAGTCGTCATGCATTTTCGTGTCCTATTCCGTACAAACGATACCACGTTGCTCGGACGAATAGCTTTGGTCTCTGCTTCATCAGTAGTCAGGGTGTTATACATACTTACGAAAATTTCCCAGGCAATATCTGTAAAACAAACGCCCCACCGAAAAGCAAAACGAAAACTGTGACATGGCACGAAAATCATTATTGCTGAGCCATGCTTTATTTTGTACTACACATTATTGTTTATGAATCGCGTCTCATTGGCTTCCGCGCTAGCCATGTGTTTGCATTCACTGGTTCGCGTTCTTCGATTCTGGGTCGCACATCTAACCGCAATCCGTTCGTGACGGCCATGTTGATTGGCTCTGCGCGTTGTCTTTCGGTGTACGTGATCTATGCTCTTCTGCAGGTAATTTTCGGTCTGTGGCCTTGATACTGACTCTGTCATTCTGACCCCGGAGGTGCCGATTGGCTTTGTGACTGATGTGTCCCCTCACCCGCTCAAACAGCGGTCTTCTGCCCGTGGACCGTCTATGTCTTTGATTGATTATCTAGTGTATTAAGCGTCACAGGAGATGCTGCAACCGCCGTTAGCTTGTTAGTCTCATAGACGGCCTGTGCTGGTGACTGGCAGCTAAGATTATCGACTTCCATCATGGTCTGTGTCTGATTGGCTTCATAGTGTGTTGGCCTCCGTCACAAGAAATCCTACCTGCGTTGTTGATTCGCGGCCAAGCATATCGACTTATGTCGCAATATCTAGTGTCTCCTCGGCTAAGAAATTCCAGTTAGCCGTTTCAACTAGCCTTCTTAATTTTCACTAATGTATTACGGCTTGCGTCTTCTGGATTTCCTTCCTGGGTTATCATGCATAGCAAGGGTACATGATTGCATGATCACTGCGGCCTAAAGCAGCCTCAGTGGTCACCCTCTCAATCATGAGTTCTATGTTGGTGAATATCCGATGTGACCTGAATGGCCTGTCCGCCTCTCGTAGTCTGATGGGAATGTTTGTTTGGCCATAAATGGGGAACTGGCGAAAAGCCCTTGTAGATCTGCCCTTAACTGTTCTCTAGCGTTGTTTTGGAACGCAATAGTGTGGATGTTGCAACCGCCAGTGATAAGCATGTGACTGTACCTCTTGTGTTTTCCCTGCCTCTGTGCAAATGCTACTTTGAAGTCCATATAGGACGTGGAAGATGGAAGGCGGCAAAGAACAGTTACCATGCAAGTGTCGTTGCCTGTCAGGTATAGACGGTAGTAAAGCGAGTCTTACACCGTATTAGCCGGGACCTACAAGGGCTCACTTTGGAGGTTACTATGGAAGTAATGAGCCACTCCACTCCCTTTACCAGATCAATCATTTCGAACAACGGATATCCCTGGCAATTCTACTCCATTGTCACTTATTTCAGGGCGAACCATATCTTTATCATAGCGATGAGGTCATAGACGTTTGATCGGTTTTCGGTTTGCTAAGTAGGCCCTAAAAATTAGCGTATATACATTTATTAGATGAGCTCGCGCCTGAGGCGCTCACACCTAGATTGACACTGGTGACTGTCCCGTCACGTGATTTTGTTGCACACACGCACGACAGTCATTCAGTTAGACCGCTTGCCATTCATGACTATGTCCTTTCATGTGGTTGGCTTATTGATCTATTAATCCTTTTGCATCCCGGTTGCTCAGCTTTGTGTTTTTCAATATTGCTCGTCCCTGCACGATGTGCTTTTGCTTTGCGTTTGAAGTGGGTTGGGAGCGGTCAGACGTTATACTAAAAGGATAGCTTCTTTGATGTCGGAAGCGCTTGACGAGGAGTTTATGAATAAATGTATGCCGATCGATGAGAGTCCGGTACCAAATAGTTTTAGTGGTTTGCTGGTGAACGGAACGACACCATGTCTCGATATGGTTTCAATCCGTTCTTAATGGCCAGTCGTATGGGGAAATGGTTGCTGGCTCGCTGTTGTGCTTACCTTGAGTCCTGAGTAGTGTTGCTTCCTCGATGATATGAGGTGGCTGCGGTCCTACAACTGGTGTTTTAAAGCGTAGTTCCAAAGGTAATGTGTTGCGCAGTTTATGTGAGCTACGCATTACATTCACAGCTATCTGGTGGGACTGAACTACAAGTTTAAGTAACCTCGGGTCACAGTCTTTGTAGTGAGGCTAAACCATTAGACTTGAAATTGCCTGAATTATGACGTCATCAGCACAGAGGGCTTCACAAATGTACTGCCAATCTTCAAGATCATGAGCATGGACATCCTCGTCACTGGTTGCCGGTAACTCGGGCTTTTCGTGAACAAAAAGACGTCAGCCGCAAGTCGGTAGGCGCCACCGAGGCTTCGTCGCCGTGTAACCACCAACAGTCACGCATGGGCTAATGATACTGCGAGGGTCGCATTGCCGCTACGTAGGCTCGAAATCGCGCCCTCGGATTAGAAGGCAGGCTTATGATCATGTAGGCCACGGGCCGATGTGAGCAAAAACAATTCTCCTGATACACTCGGTGTGGTAGTCGTTTGTGATTTTTGTCCTACTGACGTTCGCTCCATTGAACATTCGGAAAAATGTGCATCCCACCGTCTTCTCTCCGCAGGCGGTATACTGACAAAAGTGCCACGTCGACATCAGCTACAGATCCCAGTTACAGTCATAGTGGCCGGGACTCACCGTAGTGCATCGAGTTTGGACATCTGGTGATGCGCATTAACCTTGTCGGTCCGGCCTGAACACCGATACGCTCATAAACCCGATTTCACCGCTTCCGATCGTCCTGCTGTTTGCTTCTTAAGGGGTTTACCTTGGACTCAAGGCTGTTGGTGCATAAGATTTTCGGTAGTTTTTGGTAGCGCTATGGTGGCTGGCTTGGTGACATCTGTGCTATTTCTATCTGAGCCTTGACAATTGATGTCACTAGAGTGGCTGACGCTATTGGAGTCAAACTGTGAATACATCATGTGGTAACAGGTGTGTATGTGGATCTACCCTCGGAAAGGTTCGGTTTCTGTCGAGCTGTAACACTGTGACTTTGGTGTTAGAGGATTGGGATTCGTTTCGATAAACACATGTAGAAGCTGCACTCCATTGACTAACATATCGAGTTGGCCATTCGATGATTTTCCCTTGAATTCAGGCCCAATGAACGACTGCTGATCGATGACTCCTTTTATGTTTTATGTAGATTACTTACTTTTCGCAAATTTCTTACCGTTTTGCCTGGTATAATAACCATTCGTTATGCGCCGATCGGTTAGCATTTAGCAATAAGCCTGTGATGTTTATAAACAACTGAAAAATGGTTTAATTTTACGTGTTTGTTTTTTTGTCCGCACCCACTTCAGGGATATCTATAACCAAAGCGGTTGGCTAGATCGCAAATTTTTCGCACCCGTCCGGGAACGCTTTGGTGGTCGTGTCGAAATGGTCATCTGTGGAAGTGCGCCTCTGTCGTCGAAAGTTATCGGGTTTATAAAGGCTAGTTTCTCTTGTCCGGTAAGCAAAATATTCCAAAGTTAAGGGCTATCATCGATAAAGACATGAATATAAGGGCGCATTATTCATTTTTCGGATTATCAGCTCCGCATTGGTATTGTGCTTATTACTAGTATTATTCTTATTATCCTACGCGTTAGCTAGAGGTGGCTATTGTGCAGCAATACAAAAGAAAATACAAAAAAGAATTTGCAACCGAGACACGACAACTGAGCCACAATTGGGCCTCATTCCGGAAAGAGATCAAACTGGATTTTTCTGAAAAGTGATATTATTGAAAATTTAATATCCGCCAAGAAATGAGACCTTACTTAGAGGAGGACGCTAAGAGGAGGGAAGAGGAACAAAGAAAATAAAAGCACAAACTTCACTGAAGAGGGCTCTTAGTTATGTCAACTGGTGTACCCAGGCAAATGTGTTCACTGTCTTACGGACCGCAACCAGGGAGCCGAGAGACTCCAGCCGAAGCCAGTTTCGAACTAAGGACCTTAATTCTTCTTGACCAAGTCATCTGTTAGTCACCTCTCCTCTTCCACCATTCACACCCCCGGGAGCAAACAGCTCACGTCGCGGAAGTCGGTGTGTTGACATGTTCAACACTTGGCCCAGTCATCGGAGCCTAGTGCTTGACATAATGGCGCTGAGCCGTTAACGCGATCTTGCTATACCAGATGGGCGACGTAGAATACGCTCAGTGCTCACGCGGTGTTCCCTCCAGATATAAGCCAAACTGCGAAGGCACAGGTGGTCGAACATATCACTCTCTCTCTCTCAAGGGTAGAGTTTACAATGCAGCTGTCCATACCACCATCTGTACCGTCTTAAAACTTGACCCATTAGATCGTCAGCTAAAAAGAGGGTGAAGGTCAGCAAAGCGCTTCGAGCTTTTGCTATACGGTTCGTGACCCCCTCTTCGATTCCACAAACGCTGAAACAACTGTCCACGAACTTGAATTTCTGAACGACTTCTAGTTGATCCCCACCAAGGGTTAGCGCAGGTGACGGTCTCTATAGATCTTTGGGGAAGCATTGTACAGCATTAACAAGGAAGGCGAACTGATGTTTTGGCCCGGGAGGACAAGTCAAACTCAAAATCAAGCATCAACCTGTTCAACCTGACGGTTCCACAAGGCTCGACAAGCCAGAGAACCTATGATGCTGTGTGAGATTTCAGGTCGACCATGGCTGAAATTAGGGGCGGACTTGTTCTATAGCAAATGGAAAGACAAGTTAATCACAATGAAATATTACAGCCATTACTTCGAGATCGGCGCATTCACTGTTACCACCACGGAAACAGTCATCAATAAACTCAAATGTCAGTTTGCCAGAAAGGATATACCTAAGAAACTGGTTTCCGACAATGGCCCACAATTTACAAGTGCTGCTTTCCATACCTTTGCAAAAATATGGAAATTTTCGCATTGATAATCCAACCCGTATCACAGCCAGTCTAACGGAAAACCGGAAGCAGTGATCGGACAAGTCCAAATGCTGTTGTAGGAGGCTAGAGCCACTCATGATGATCTACATCTGATGCTGTTGGAAATTCGCAACAAGGCATCACTGGACTTAGCTCTCGGACCAGTTCAATGTTTGTATAGTAGATGAAGAAGAACGCTAATGTCTGTGTCGGCTGAACTTTTACATCCGGTCTTGCCGTCGCATGAGCAACTGCAAATGAATTTAATAAAACCGAGAACCAATCAGATACGGTATTATGAACGCCTATCCGGCGCTACCCGAGATATCAGTAACGGAGGAATTGTGGATCAAACCAATACCGGGCATCGATGTGCGATGGAAGAACGGGCTGGTAACTGCAACGGTCGGAGAAAAATCTTATAATGTCAATACTCGAGGGAAGACAATCAGAAAGAAAACCAGTGCAGCTGAGGCGACATCAGGAATGAGGAGGCGAACATAAAGCAAGGCACACGACAGTTTGCGGCGAGGTCACAACGAAAGCGGCGGCAAAGACGATGCAAAGTGGAAGAGTTTACGGAGTCTGCAATGACATCGATGCCGCTGCTCCCAAAAATTGAAGGTTGCGATGGGATTATGCAATCATAGGAACCATACAGATGTACATGACGAAGCATGAAGCTAGCCTGCCGTAAACAATGAAAGCAAATGATTGGACGCTTACCCATCTTAGTTTACACGCTGATTGGTTCGTAGTTGGTAGCACTGGAGTGGTTTTGTGTGGTTGGTTTGAAGCAAGTATATCATGAGAAGTCTTTCGTTATGAAGGTGACCTAGATATTTGCATCCAGACTTCTACAAATTAATGATACTGTAATTTTTGCAGAGCTTGTTTTGTCGAATAAACCACTTGTCCCTGAAGGGCCGAGTCTTGCGACAAGACGGTCATTTGTTATACCGGCAAAATAACTCCCGCAGGATGATTACATCGGTAATATGGTCTACTCCCCTTTAAATCCTAAGTCCGCACCGAACATTTTCATAAATGTTCTGCTGTGTCAGCAGAGGACGTACCTATCCTCTGCCGGAACAGGACTACACTTTTCAGCCGCGGTGAATGTTGTGCTAGCACGTCCTCATTAATTCATCTGGCTTTTACATATCGCAACATGACCACCTCACGTGCTTTCCTTGTTAGACTAGTAAGACCTGTTACCTCTGTTCTGCCAGTTATACTCTCTTTGTTCAACGCAGCATGCATTTCCGTTTTCCATGAACCTACAACACGGTCGCGTGTTCAGCTTGCGGTTTCTCTGATTGTCGCTGGTTTTATATTGCTGATCCATTCCGTAGGTCCATTTTCTGTGGCTCCGTTTGTAGACCACCAAATATTGTGTTTATTTATGCGCACTTAAACGTGGCCCATGTCCGACCACCTGTTTCAGTGGCTCATTCATGCAAACTACCGAGTCTTCCTCTTGCTGAATCGTGCACTCAAAACCACTATATCGGTCTTCATCTTTCTTCAAAAGCTTGGTCAAATAATTAGATGTTTACAAATTCAGCACTACCATGCATCGTCGGAAGCGTCTCGAGCGAAGCCGCTTGGGCATAATATACAGACTCCGCTTACTAAATGTTTGATTTCAGCAACTAGTTGCTGTCTCTTTCTCTAGAGATCTCCCAAGCACATTAGCAGTACCTGGAACTGGCTCCCAGTTGAGTTTTTTTCGGTAATCTTTGGGGGCTTAGCACTTCGTTTGATCAGTTACTGCAGTGCTCACGGAGGTGGGAAATTAGTTTGCAAGCGTTTCGTCACCAGTCGAGGTGACCTCATCAGTTCGTGAGTTTGAGCGGTTTCGTAGGGAAAGGTGATGGAAGTCAACTCCCGGTACTGTATGGTATAGTATTTCTCACTAGCACTTATTTTGACACACCAACCGCAGAACGCTGGTATGGTACCCACCAGACTCTGACCAGTTATGAACACAACTCGATCACATTGCGATCAGTTATCGTTGGAGATGCTATGTTAAAAACCGTCGCTCGATTTAAAGCACATGTGTGGACACCGACCATGGTCTTGTGTGCGTCAACCTGCGAGTACGTTTCGACAGACTTATGCATCGAGGCTGTGGGTGCATAAGTACTTGCCAAATGGCGAAGCCATATTTTCTAAATTTATATCATAGTGCACTGGTATCCGAGCTAAGTAAGCGCTCACCAAATACAATTTATGATCACTGGCTGCATATCCCCCAGGCGTTATCATGGCAACTCAGTTCGCCAACTTGGACATCTTACCGGCGCGTAGCCTATAGGATCACAAGTCTGGCTTGTAAACCGGGAGCGCGGGTTCGAGCTTGAGTGTGGACCGGGAGACCCTCGCAGTAACCTTAAACGACATGCAAGTGGTGGTGGTTACTACTGGTGCCAATTTGAACAGTCGATCCCTGCACACTCTATGGAATTTCGTGGCCCTCGCCGGCGTGTTCCGGATGGGAACAAACAAAAGAGATACGCGTAGATCTTGGGGCAAAATTTCGTGCCAACCTGAGGAGAAACTGGGACTTCTGGTGATCAGACGGTGCATCGGAGGTGTAGACAGCCGCTTCCGTTCGTAACCACCGGAAGTTATTTCGTCTGATACTAGAGAGGAGCAGGGGTGGCTTACTGTTAACAAAACCACTTGCGAAGAGTGAGAACAGTCAAATCACAACCTTCTGAAACGAGTGCAGCTTTGGGCGGAACACTTGGAGAGGCGATTTAATCAACCAAAATACTATCTTCCTTATGCGTCATTGTTCGCCCTTTTCCCTGGGATGTCCATTAAGAGTCGTCTTCACGAGCAGACGTCGAGACTGAGATCAACCTGTTTGAAATGAATTTAGCCGCCATAGCGTAGGGACTTCTTCCAGTCAGCTGCCGTGGATGGTTTGCATTATTTTCTACTGAAGCTCTGCGAGCAGGAAATTGTCCTAACAGACTGGGACTCCTCCGTTATAGTACCAATTTCCAAAGGGAAACTCACATCCAGAGTGAGGCAAGCGTTAAGGAATCAGTCTGCTCTCAATTGCCTCCAAGATACTTGCCCTTGTCGTTCTTTGTAGATGTATTGGCACTGGTACAAGTCAAGTGCGTGAGCAGCAAGCGGGGTTTTGTTGAAACCCAGGCTATATTGGTCACAATTTTACGGCAGTTGTTGGAACATCGTCGGATAACTTGGCAACCAGCCGTAGTCAGGTTCCTCGATATCAAAGGTGCCTTTGATTCAGTGCGTCGATTTGTCCTTTGCGACTGTCTACTCAGGAAACTTGTGTCGGAAAATTAGGTAAACATTATCAGAGCGTCGTACGCGCATCTTTTGGGTAGATGATAGCTAATAGCAAACTGACACCACCCTTCAATGGGTTTAGCGTTGTGAGATAAAGTTGTCCACTGTCACCTTTCTTTTTATCTTTACCATTGATGAAGTTATGGAAATTGCATTCACTAGACAGAACTTGAAGTTGTGGAGTTTCTCCCCGATGACTCAGTTCTTTACTTGGAGTATGCTGACCACATTCCCCTAATCT